AGTATACAAAAACTAGAAGCCAAAATCTTCAAGTATTTCAACGATCCTAAATACTCTAAAGTTTTACAAAACCATCTTCGGTAAGTAATATAGAATAAATAAATATAACCGATAATAATCAATATAATAATAAACTATGAAAAAATATTAAAATTAAAAAAATGGCCATTCGGTTATTTTATTTATTTTTCACAAATATACACTTATTGAGAATTTACTTTACTGTATGAGAAAAAAGAAAGAAAAATTTATTTATAGGGAAAAAAGTATACTTATAGGGTCTGTTTTTTTAGAAAAAGGTAGTTATATAAGTAATAAGCGACTTCTGTTATCTATGACTGATTTTCTCTCACTTCATTCAATGGAAACAATATTATGGTAAATAATAACAATTTAAACAGATTGATAATCCCGGTAGTTTATGTTTGATTCGAATTCTAAACGTATATATGTATGTTCTTTTAAAATCTGTTTTATTTTCATATCCGTGTATTAATAGTTTCATGTTTTCTTTTTAAAAAAATAGTTTCTATCGTCTAATGTTTCACATGTACATTATTAATATTGTGCACACCCCCTTTCTTTAATGAATATTTTGTCTATTCTTGTATAGTTTTTATTATTATTACTTTAGTATTCTTCTGGAGCATATTTACATTTTCTATTTTGAGATTCAACATATTATAAAAAAAATGGTTATAATTATACCGAAATCGTTAAGGATATATTAGCGCCGATATTGTTATAGATTTATTTTGTACATGGGGATAGTCCACTCTCCCTCTCGAAATACTTCCACATAAACACGCGTATACAACTACTTCCAGGGAAGTCCTACTCAATGCCTTATCATGGCAGGGGTGTTGTTTACAAAATTGAGAGAATGAAAGGCGAATGTTCAGCGCTTTAACAGGGTTGGTGGATACGGAGAGTCCACCTAGGGAAGTTGGAAAACCCTGATTCCAAACCAATGGTGCACATGAGCTCTAGTATCCTGAAGGAACAAATGGCCTATAAACCAATTATTGGTCACTGGCTACCATGGGACTACATCTCCTGACGTTGCTCCACTGTCTTGTGGATTAGACCTGTAGGTCGAAGGCTCCGTGTGTGGCCCCCTATGAAAACCACTTGCTTCGGTTTGGGCACCCGGGTAGTATCACAGGCGCATATGTATCTGGTGCCCCTTTGTACCAATATCTATGTGTCCAAATAAACAAATATTGTATAGTTTCTAGGATTTACTTAACGTATAAATATAATTTATGAAAGTATTTACGTAAGACTAGTCTTACTCTAGGATTATACTAACTCATATAGAATAAATGGTTCATGACTACTAGTAGAATGAAAGAAGTGTATTTCATCCAATTTGAGACTCGTTGTCTAGATGTATTTACATCCCAATATTGATTTTCCCGTTACTTCAAACTCAGACATATTATTTACTGAGCTAATGAATCCATATATTCACTAGTGTATTCAATAGATATTCTATTTATATCATTATCAAGAATATTTTGAGGAATCCCTTTACATTCTACTACTAACTAACATATATTTATTCTATTGGACTTGTGACAAAATGGTTATATTGAAATAATCCACATAGGATATAAATATACCAAAAATAGACTGATTAAATTACAGTTGTGAATATCACCAACAACATTATACAAGCTGTTATTAATAATAATATAAAAATACTTAGTTGATAGTGGCTAGCAATACTTGTAAATTAAGGTAATATCGAAGCAATTTGCACAGTATGCATATATGCCAATAAGAGACTGATCGATTCCAGTCCTAAACATCAATGGGAAGATTCAAGTAAAACAGTACCAAGTGAATTATACTTAGTTGATTTCTATGATATCCGAATTTAATTTATCATTTATACAATGCTTCTTTAAATAATTAATCTTTACATTTTTATTTAAATATGATAGAAACATAAATAAAATGGAACCATTTTAGGATTTTTATTAAGAGTCTAAATGTTATTGAACTGACACTGTTTTATCAACTGAATTCCAAAAAAGAAAATTTGGTTACTTGAATTATGTACTGATGTAGATTTTATTCAATTAAAAGTTGTTCATTCTATTTGTTTCCTATCAGGTTAATAATGGGGAAAACATCAAACTGTCCGATGTTGATTAAACTTTATATAGACCATCTCTGTTTTATATAATGTTTAGATTAAATGTATAATGACAACTTAGATACTAGCTAAAATAGTTGTACATAAAGTTTGTGATCAATTTTTAACGGTTTGGTTTCATTCATTTATCATATCTAAACCTACTTCGGTGTTTACTTTATAATATCTTTAAAGTTCTAAGGAAAAGCTTTTAAAATTGAAGGTCTTCCCATCATTGATTTGAAGTGTTAATGATGTAGTGCATAATTACACAGTGCATTTATAAAGTATAAAAATTATACATCAAATATATTATTTGCACATTTTCCTTCAGTTGTTCTTTACATATTTCATAATTCTTCCGATTCTTTTGTAATTTGATTGTTCTTTGTTTCCTTCCATGTTCTCTTTAATTCAATCTTACATTGACAAGCATTCCATTACCGGTTGTTGCTACTGTGGTGTGAGCTACTTATATTGACATAAGTAGTATATGACGATAGTGAGGAACAAGATGTCTGGCAGCAGAGAGACGAGAAGATCGAACAATAAAGAATGAAGAAAGAATGCAATTTGTATGAAACTGCAAGAACAATGAAGTCTGGGCCATTTTGAGACAATTGATTGTCATTTTGCAAATTGAGCCTTTACTATATGATTGTTAGATTTTATTGACAAGTTCTGTAATTTCCTGTCAAATACATTCGGTCGTCCCCACCCGTGTTCTGTTCACTACAATACTACTTATATCTGTCAGTATGAATAGCAAACATTTCAATGGTAGTTTTATCTTACCAGAGTGCACTGAAATGATTTTAATATCTAATTCTAAATGTAATGAATTAGTTTCATTATCATTGTAACAAAATTTAGTTCCAAATAATTTACATTTGCCTAAAACTAACAAATTAGTCATGTTTTCTAAGTATAATTTATTAGTTCCGTATATAAACTAATAATCTTGAAAATCATTAAACCTAGAGTATTAAATTATATTATTTTTAAATCAGTCGTTGAAATGACCAAAACAAGAAAAACAAAACTCATCTTTTATTTCATAATAGCTGAATGAATGAATGGATGAATAATAATAATAATAATAATAATAATAATAATAATAATAATAATAATAATAATAATAATAATGGCTCCATTAACTATGACAGACAATCAATGAAATCACATTTTAATCTTATACATTGATCATTGTATAACATATAGTAAATTAATTTGATCTGTATTAAATCGTATTTGAAATAATTTAATTGGATATTGCAAGATAAATTATTTTCAATCTGAATTACTTGATATCTATGAGATCTGTGTTAAACCTTCTCAGTCCTGAAATTTTACTCTTTAACATTGATCAATTATAAATACTGTTAATTGATTGTTAGTCCGTTCTCTATATTCTAAAATTAGTTAATGAATAGTGGAAAATGTATATGCTTGTTTATAACAATTTACTTACTGAATATACGTTTTTCTCTCATTGTACAGTGGAAATAAAGTAATATTTACATATTTTTGATTGAGATCATGAACCGATTGACGTTAGACCACCATTGAAAACCTGGAAGCACTGAACGGTCGTTTCGTTCTATTGTGGGACTCCTCAACAGTGTGCATCCACGATCCCACTCATGGGATTCGAACCCACGGCCTTCAGTCTGGCGCGCGAACGCTTAACCTACTGGACCACTGAGCCGGCATCCAATGGTGTTAATGTCTAACCTCAACCAATCCACAAAGTTGCGCGACCATCTTCGCGTTCGAGTGCGAGACTGAAAGCCCTGGGTTTGAATCCCGCTAGCGGGATGGTGGATGCGCACTGCTGAGGAGCCCCACAATGTGACGAAATGGCCGTCCAGTGCTTCCAGGTTTTCATCTCCATAACCCCTAAACTGATAATATTTATATACATGAATTATTGACTAATACAGTATTAAATAGACTTTGATAACATTTAAAGCATGCACAAATACATGCATACTGCTTCTATTCACCTATCAAATTGTAGTTTCTAATAAAAATGTAGTTGTGGCAATTAAGTCTTAAACTGATGTTATTGTATCTGAATTATAGTCAAGATAAAGAAGCATATGGATAAACACTAAGATATAGTTGTTGTTCTCAAAAAACGGTTTATTGAAGCCTTAGTCATACGAAAATTCAACCCCCCTTTGTGTATTCAAAAACAGTTTGTTCTTGCCTTAAACTTACCCTGGTAATATTGACTTATTATCCAGAGTGATTAGGTTTTGAATTGTGTCCACATTATTATTATTAGTTTTATCATTATTATTAATATCCTTATCTCCTCTTACCCCATTTACAGTCTGGTTGACCTTTTATTTTTATATATAAATGCGCTTAACAAGTATATGTGTAATCAGATTGTTCGAAATGTATTGCGCTAATATATCACATAGTTCTGATAATCTCCGTCTTCTTATTACATTATCGAAATGCACGTGAATCAAATTCCACTTTTAAAAATATAACATTATCAATCTACTAAGACAAGTGATATTCATAATGACAGATTTGAAATTAGAGAACTAGTGCAAGTTGACGGTAACCCATGATAAGTATTTTGGAGGAATTGTTCGCTTATGACAGAACCAATATGTGAGTAATGTTGATGTTAGGTTTAGGTAATGAATCGGTTGATGAGACTGTGAATCTTCAGTAGAACATACCAACAGCTGTTTAATTACACGTATAATGATGGCTAGAGTAGGTTGGAAAAGAAATAGAGGCGGTCAAACGACAGTAAAGTATCAGTATGTAAAATAGATAAAACAATATTTATAACTGCTTTACTTATCCTGAGTTTTCGTAATTTTTTCTTCAGGCCCATCAACAATTCTATTGTCAAGGTCGAAAAGAAGTTATGAAACAGTTACACACATCCACTACAAATCCAGTTACGTCACATGTACCTACCTCCCCTGGTAATCATACTGTTTTAAACTGCGCCACAACTACCGGTTCACCAGCTAGTAAGCGTCGCTGTACTACAACTGACAGTCTTTCATCTACTGGTCACAACCTAAATCATACTGGAAATTCTTCAACCAATCAGACAAATTCGTCTACATCTAGTAGTGGTGATGAAGCTGAAAGCGTTAAAAGTAATAGGTTATCACCATCAGGTTCGAAATTGTCACCAAATCGTAATTTACAAATCAATCAAGAAGTTAATACAGATTGTGAAACAGATCAATCAAATTCAACTCATTGGGAACCTTGTGGAGCAACTGAACTACGTTGTTCTGCATGTGGTTACGTTGGTCAAACCCCACGTGGCATGAAAATGCACAGAAAACTTCATGAATGCAACGGTACCACATCAAAGTAAGTTTTCGTATAGATTAATTTATAGCTAGTCAGTTATACTGAAATAAAACAGCTTCTGTAACATGAATGTAATTGTGATCATTATGAGAAATAGGGTTTTGGTGCATTAGATTTACGTCTACATTATATGGGTTTAAATGCAAAGGCATTAAATTCTTTTGGCTAATCTAGGTTTTTAAATACCTAATCTCTAATCCTGCTTATGAATAGCAATAAACTCACAGTCATAAATAACAACAAGAAGGATACTGAGATCCCAATAAATTTCGTAACATAAAATCCATATCTTTAATTAGGAACAGCCATAATTATGCTAAATAACGTATGCAATAAATCTTTAAGTAGGTCGCAAAAATCAAGAATTAGAGAGTATTTCAATCTTGTGATAGATAAAGTTCCATACCGTTACTAACTAATTGTTGGAGTCTAATGTTAGAGTAACTGCTGAGTCGCTAGCAGCCCCTACTAATAGTGTAAATACCTTATGTATAGGTTAGTACCATTTCAAATGGGAAATGAATAATATAAGTTAGATTTCAAAAAAGGGTTAAAATGTACACAGCGGTGGTCATTATTATTTATTTGGACACATAGATATTGGTACAAAGGGGCACCAGATACATATGCGCCTGTGATACTACCCGGGTGCCCAAACCGAAGCAAGTGGTTTTCATAGGGGGCCACACACGGAGCCTTCGACCTACAGGTCTAATCCACAAGACAGTGGAGCAACGTCAGGAGATGTAGTCCCATGGTAGCCAGTGACCAATAATTGGTTTATAGGCCATTTGTTCCTTCATGATACCAGAGCTCATGTGCACCATTGGTTTGGAATCAGGGTTTTCCAACTTCCCTAGGTGGACTCTCCGTATCCACCAACCCTGTTAAAGCGCCGAACATTCGCCTTTCATTCTCTCAATTTTGTAAACAACACCCCTGCCATGATAAGGCATTGAGTAGGACTTCCCTGGAAGTAGTTGTATACGCGTGTTTATGTGGAAGTATTTCGAGAGGGAGAGTGAACTCTCCCCGCTCTCGGCCGTATCAGGGCATTTTTGGGCTGATTATTCATTTATATTATCCAATGGTATTTATTGTAATGCCTACACTTAATAGTAGTCATTGTATTGTTTTTGTTTAAAAAAACTGATTATTTACATGTTTATACTGTATTTTCTAATTGAAGAAATCCTAAATCTACTTGTGAAGTAAAGATCAATGAAATGAAGACAGAAAATGATATTCTCACTAAAAATTTCGATATAAATCTACATGTTAGTAATGATCATAATTCACCTCTAATAAATAATATAAAAAAATTACACAAAGGAACGAATGACAATAATAATAATAATGCATTTTTGGATGATTTTGTTAAAAAAGAACAATTATGATTAAAATCATCATTATATGAATATTAGTTCTATTCTCATCATTAGAAAACTACAAAACGATAATGAAAAATAACAAATACAATGTATTTTATTCTGATAAATTACACTGCATTTGTTACTATTTCAATGGAATGGAATATAATAAACAATAATTCATTCATGTATTATTAATTATTAGCATTATTGATTTTACTTTATTACTTATCTTTTGTTTTCTTTTTTTTTGAAATTTTTTTTACTTGCTAACTTTCTATCTTCCTGATGAGCATAATCATCACCACTACTAGTATTTCAACTGTATTTTCTTCTTTCGATTGTACATGATGAATGTTGGAAGTGATTTCAACTTCCCTTAGAATACAAAAATTTTTTTTTAAATGATATATTTACTATTCATTGAATTTGTCTACTTTTGAGTTAACTACTTGCAAGTAGACCCATTTTTATTTAATTATTTTATTTGAACTTGAAATTGATGTCAACCTGGTTCACAGAGATGTTCACTCATTAATATGAGATTTTAATAGAAAAGTTAGTTACTTTGATGAAGGGAAGGGTTCATAACTTCTATGAGTCAGTTTGTTAAAATCCATTCTATTGATCAGAACCAACAAACAGTTAATCTTAGAATTATATAAGAAAATATGGAAAATTTAACTCTATACGAAATTATGTAATTGTCTGATTCTACATTTTACATGATATATGCAGAAAATGAAGTTAGAACAAATAGAAATCAATAGAAGTTGAAGTGGTGACCATCAAATAAACGGGACTTATAGATGTTAAGTAACAGCCACGATATATGGAGGTTTTTGATTTAACTAACTACTAAATAGTGGAATTAAATATGTCTGGAAATGCATCAATATACTGTAATTTAGTGGAATAATTGGAATATGCTTTATTTATTTGAACACATAAATATTGGTGCAAGGGGGCACCAAATATATATGCGCCACACAAAACAATGATAATTTGAAGAGAAGGAGAAAAAGAGAGAACAATAATGGGAGAAACGGAAAGGTACAACCAGAAGAAAACTTTCTGTTAATGAAGATACAACCATTTTTTATGAAGAAAGTAAAAGAAGGTTACAGCACGATCGCCACTGGCTTCTATTCTGAGCCATATCTGATAACTTCTCTAGCCACTGCGTTACTCCATCTCTCGGAACCCAGCCAGGTAGTCGTGAAGGACCAACAGAGGCTAGCCCTTTGCAGCTTTCTTTCATACCACGACACCATGTCATATACTGACCACCTCTCCGCTTTTTCCAACCAGTCCCAGAGTCGGCAAATAATGCACGACGTGGAATTCTCTGGGACGACATTCGTAGAACATGTCCAAGCCACCGAAGTCGGTGTTTCAAGATGGTGACACCAATGGAATTGTCGTCTCTGTGCCCGAACACACGATGCCGAACCTCTGCATTACTGACATGGTGTTGCCACTGGATGCCAGCAATCCTTCGGAGACAACGATGATCGAACACAGAGAGTCGTCTAACATCCTCAACTCGGAGAGGCCAGGTTTCACAAGCATAGAGCAAAACTGCTCTCACCGTCGCGTTGTAGATCCGACCTTTTACAGCCAGACTAACATCACGAAGGCGCCGAAGATGGCCCAGATTGGCATAAGCCGCTCTGGCTTTCACTATATGTGCATTGATCTCATCACTCACGCCACCACCAGCACTTATGCAACTACCTAGATACACGAACTTCTCGACTACTTCAATCTGCTCACCATCCAGAGTGAGTACAGGATTAGAATCCTGCCAGTCTTGTAGAAGTACTTTGCACTTCGAAGGTGCAAAACACATAACATACCTACGGACACTGATTGCCAACTGATTAAGTGCGGATTGCATAGCTTGCGCATTCTCGCACAGTAAGACAACATCATCCGCATACTCAAGGTCGAGAAGTCTTTCTCCAGGCAACAGATCCACACCACCATTACTTACATCCGTCAGAGCTGTTTCCAGAATGTCATCGATGGCAAAGTTGAAGAGGAATGGTGAGATTGGGCAACCCTGTCTAACTCCACTGCTTGAATGGAATAATGGAGAAAGGTGGTTGTATGCCTGAGGTGTTTGTGTATAGGGCTTTTAGGATGTTAATAAACTTCTCAGGCATACCCCTCTGAAATAGACAATCCCAGAAAAGTCCTGTTCAACGAATCGAAGGCAGCCCTGATGTCAAGCAACACTGCGATTGTTGGTCTTTGATAAGTATGGCGGTGTTCTAACACTTGGCGGAGGGTGAAGATATGATCAATACATCCTCGACCAGAACGAAACCCAGCCTGCTCCTCGCGAGTCAATCTTTCTCGGGTTCTGAACAACCTACGAAGTATGACGGAAGCCAATAGCTTGGACGCAATCGTAAGTAGACTTATCCCCCGATAGTTGTTACAGGAACAACGTGAACCCTTTTTAAAGATAGGGACAACTATCGACTCATTCCATGACGTTGGTACACTCTCTAGTTCCCAGATCTTTGTAAACAACGTCGTCAGTCCTTTAGTCAAAAAGTCACCACCATCTTTAAAAAGAGCCGGAGGTAAGTCGTCTGGGCCCGGTGATTTGTAACGTTTTAAGAGTTGGAGTTCCTTGTGGACTTCCGCCTCATTTGGTGGATCAGTCGTCACCGGCCATGGAGGGCAGGACAGTCTGACCGATGTTGCCGGAGCAGCAGGCCAGTTGAACTGCCCTTCAAAGAATTCTGCCCATCGTCCAAGACGTCGATGGATGTTAGTGATTGGCGTTCCGTCATCCTCGCAGATTGTTTCGCTCACACCATACTTCTTGCTGCCAGTGGCTCGGATGAGTCGGAAGAGCTTCCGGTAATTACCAGATGCAGCTGCTGCTTCCAGCTCGTTAGCACGCTCCGACCACCAGGCTTCTCGGTCCTTACGCAAGCTTTGCCCGATTTCATTACGTAACATCCTTAGTCTGTGGTCAAACTCACGGTCACCCGGAGTAGACCGACGGGCTTCAATCAGTTGTAAGGAACCAGAAGAAACCCAGTGCTTGTAAGCGGGACGTTTCGCGAACCCACAACAGACTTGACCCGCCATTTTCATGGCGTCATGCAATTGCAACCAATGCTCATCTATACTTATCAGTGGAATGGTAGCTAGCCTAGAAGCTAGCTCGGTTCGGTACTTAATAGCAACAGAAGTTGCAACCAGCTTGCTAACATCAATCCTTTGGTGGCGGTCACTTCGTTGTCCACTGAAAAGTAAGGTAAGATTGGCGCAGACCAGAGCATGATCAGATTCCAGATAGGTACTCCAAAAGGAGCGGCAGTCTTGTACACAACCACGCCAGCGGTAGCTGATCGCGATGCGGAAGGAGGACACCAGGTGACACATCGGTGATGACTGTACCGAAAGTTAGTGCTAGCCAGAAACATGTTGTGGTCTGTGCATAGTTGCAGTAGACGTTCCCCGTTATCTAACCTGCTACCAACAAGTCCCCATCGGCCACCTAAACGACTCTCTTCTGTGCCTAGACGCCCGACCTGAGCATTCAAGTCTCCAGCTAGTACTACAATATCTGTCGAACGCACTTTCTGGAGAAGAACAGTTAACTGGTGGTAGAACACATCCTTGATTGCATCCGGGCTGCAATCTGTCGGGGCCTAGCCGGAGATGACGAAAAGCCATCGTTTCTCACGCCGATTTCTTCTCACTTTGATGGAACTTTCTAATCTAACAGCACATAACCGACTGTTAATGGGGATCCAGTCGATTAGTGATGCCTCAGCTCTTGCGCTTAGTGCGACAACAACGCCAGCAAGACCAGACGAAGATGCCACAGGGTTCCCGGATAAACGCACGTAAAACAAGCTTTTTGAAGTGACAGATGGAGAGCAAACTTGAAGTACTTCACCAGAGTCTTGAATACGGGTCTCGGATAGACAACACACGTCAATATTAAGACTTTCCAAAGACATAGCCAGCCCTATCTGTTGTCCGACCTGCATAAGTGTGCGAACGTTGAAGGCAGCCAGTTTGAATGGTGCACGTGGTTTCAGAAAAACTGCTTCAGTACTCATATTCGGTGGTAACATACAATTTCCAACCAGGCAGTGACTCGAGATCGTTTAGATAGAGCCTAAATTTCACCACAGGCGAGCTGTTGTATAAGTCGTAAAATAGGGATGGACAGAGTGGAAATAGAAGAGAGTGAATAGATGACGTGGTAAATAATAATAATAATAGTGGTGCGAGTCATTTCATTGTAAATCGGAGCGAAAAGAATATTTTCCATAAGTAAATAGTTCATCATAATTTAGTGCGTGGGCTGGAATACTGCCCGGGTGCCCAAACCGAAGCAGGTGGTTTTCTTAGGAGGTCACACCCCGAGCCTTCGACCTAGAGGTCTAGTCCACAAGGCAGTGGAGCATCGTGAGGAGATGCAGTCCCATGGAAGCCGATGACCAAAAGTTGGTTCATACGCCATTTGTTCCTTCAGGATACTGGAGCCCATGTGCACCATTGACTTGGGATCCGGTTATAGCGCCGGACGTTCGCTTTTCGTCCTCTCATTTTCGTAAACAACACCCCCGCCACGAGAAGGCAGTGAGTAGGACTTCCCTGGCAGAGGCTGTATACGCGTGGCCGTGTGAGAGTATTTCGAGAGGGAGGGAGAACCCTCCCCGCTCTCGGCCATACCACGACATTTGGGGGCGAAGATATCATGAGACGATATGGACGAGAGCAATACAATCACTGATATTTAAGAACAGAGGAAGAGGTGTGTAGAACACATTGAGGATCTCATGAATAGGCATGCCCTCACTGAACCTAGCTCAATTCAATCCACTGGGCATCGAAGCAGTACTCCCAAACCTTCTTATAGATGTCAGTCCACCAACGACGTATGAAATCAGGATGGCCATCAGACAAATTAACAGTGGGAAGGCACCAGGATCTGACGATATGCCGACCGAAGCACTCAAGTCAGACATAGCAATAACTGCAAACATACTCCATATTCTTCTTAGGAAGATTTGAGAGGACGAACAAGTGCCGATGGAAATACTAGAAAGAAGAACACCTCATCAAGATACCAAAGAAAGGAGATCTGAACAAATGTGAAAACTACAGAGGCATCACACTATTATCGGTATCAGGAAAAGTTTTTAACCGAGGTTTGCTCAACCGGATGAAAGATTCAATAGACATCCAGCTTTGAGATCAGTGTACCTGATTGGTCGTGTACAAACCAAATCGCGACACTACGGATCATCGTTGAACAATCAATTGAATGGAACTCGTCACTATGCATCAACTTCCTTGACTATGAGGAAGTGTTTGACAGTTTGGATAGAAGAATCTTATGGAACCTTCTTCGATACTATGGCATACCTGGGAAAATCGTCAATATCATACGAAATTCGTACGACCGGAGTCGGACAAGGCTGCTTATTCTCCCCCTTTCTCTTTCTTCTAGTAGGTGACTCGATTATGAGAACCTCCACATTAGAGGGAAAGCATGGAATACAATGGACAGCTCGGAATCAACTAAACGATTTAGACCTCAAAGACGACCTGGCCCTTGTGTCTTATACACACCAGCAAATGCAGGTCAAGACAGTCAGTTTAGCAGCAGCAGCCTCAAATACAACACGGGGAACGCCAACTTAATCACACTTGATGGAGAAGCTCTGGAACCTGTGGAAACTTTCATGTAGCTGTTCAGCAGCATCATTGACAAACAAGGAGTATCGGATGCAAACATAAAGGCAAGGATTGGCAAAGCATGGGCCGCATTCCTACAGTTGAAGAACATATGGAACTCGAAACAACTGTCAACCAATATCAAAGTTAGAATCTTCAATATGAACGTCAAGACAGTTCTATTGTACGGAGCTGAAGCTTGGAGAACTACTACAACCATCATCAAGAAGGTATAAGAAATTATCGCATTATCCTAGGCCATAAAATGACATAATGATTACCAGGGT